CATGGGTGCCGGTCCCTTGTCACAGGTTCCTGCTTGTGGCAGGTCAGTCATGAGATGTACCAGTTGCGTTTTCCGATCTAGGAGGTGAGCTGGCCTTTTCTGTGCATTGTCGTGCTAATAGGGATGGTGGCTGTCGGGCCTTGGTTCCCTGGGTGGTCTTCTGGGAGCTCTGAGTGAATGATGGAGTGAGTGATGTCCCCATAACAACACTAAGAGGCTCCTGGGAGAGTCGGGGGTTTGTTTCCTTTGTGCTGTTCTTAGGTTAGTAGGGTGGATTTGGTAAATTCCTATTTTCTTCCCAAAAGTCTATGCAGAACCTGTTTAAAGTTGTACAGTTTGCCTCAGTTGTTAAGTTGACTGGGAAGAATTTCAGATAGACTTTTCTCCTTTGTCCGTTTCTCAGTAATGAGTGACTTAAAACCCTACTTCTTCAGAGCAGAGTCCAGACATCTGAAATCCCTGACAAACAGCACCTGCAATTGGACTGGCCTCCTCTAGCGTTCCGTTGCTTGTGTTCGTTTGAGTAAGCGTTACCGTCTTCCAAAGTTCTCTCTTTCAAGTGACCCACATGACTTTGGCACCCTATAGTCTTACTTGGTCTAAATTTCTGGTGCAGATACATTTTTAAAATATTGAGCTGGTTTCTGTGTGGAAAAAATAATAATTGAACCCCTTCATTAATTCCTTGTTTGTGCAAAGGAAAGGGCTTTCATTGCTGTCCCATTGAACTTTGAGTATGAGCCCTGGTAGGCCTCTGGAAAGGAAGGTGGGTTCTTTTGTAATGTTTAAAGAAGCTACTTTCTTAGAAGAGAGGCTTAGAGACACGTACTTGATTTTTCTTGATCACTTCATAGTCTGACTGAAGTCATAGCTGTCTCCTTAAGTATTGTGTATTAAAACACAGTTGGCTAGAAGTCATGTGAAACTTAATTTGATGTCTACGTGGGTGGGAGTGGAACGATCCACACAATGTTTCCCATTAGCCCTGTGCCAGCTGCCAGGGCGCGTCTCACCACCCAGCACTGCCCTTGAGCACATGTGCTAGTACGGTATGCAATATCTTTAAGTGCTTTGCAAACACTTTGGTTTGATTTCTTTCTCACTGTAGGGTGGATTTATAGGGAGCAAATGTTTATTTTACAGAGAGAAATGTACTATATTAAAGTGTACCTTCTACTTTTTCTTATGTTTTTAATATCCCCTTTTTAAAGTCTGTTATTTTATTTTTGGAGAAGTTTTTGCTATAGAGTACATGTGCTCACCAGAAAGACAGAGACAGAAAGCAAGAAATCACCCCCCAGGGAGGATGGCCACGCCGCAATCCCTTCTCCTCCATTCTCCTCTCGGGATCTTGGGCACGCATGCACACGCACCCGGCATGAGTTTAAGCCACTGGGTCTGAGACTCGAACCGTGGTCAGCTACATGGGAGTTCAGCGACATAGCCATTATGCTAACTGCTCGTCTCTATTACTTAATTTTTTAAAAATGATGTGATGTTTACTGACTTGTTTGTGAATGATTGCTGCTTAGATTTTACTTTCCCAAACAACAGTTGTTCACTGATTTTTCTCTATACTTTTCTCATTGTGTAGAAACTAGGTTTTCCTCCATAATTTAGAATAGTTAAAGTGGCAAGGTAGAAGTTACAGTCAAAAGCCAGATGGCTACAGGTTGTTTATCGAGAGTCTTTTCTGCATGCCGATTTTAAAGCATCAGACTAGCAGAAATCTCCTAGCATTGTGGAGGAATGTTCTCGTCCGGGCTGAACGAGTCCTCGTTGCATTCTGTCTGCCTCTGTACAAGCTGGCTCTTGCATCAATAAGTCATCAGCCCCTTACTGAGGGGTGTGGAGGCAGATACCTGGAGAGGGGTATTGGCCCTTGGGCTTTACCTCTGTCTGATTAGAGTCAATTAGACTTAGGAAAGAGTTCTAAAAGCTTGACTGCATATTTACTCCTTCTATCTCTGCTCTCCGTCTTTTTCAGGGGGTTAACTTTAAAATTATTTCCATCGTGTAAAATCTGGAGAGAACAAAAGCTTTTAGTGATCCTCTTAGTTTCTGTGTGCCGATGTGTGAGCTCTTGAGATGTGCAGTATGGGTTCAGTTACTCTGATAGGTTTATGTGAGTAGTTCTTGGATTTTAAACTGGAGTTGTGGTAAGTTGAGGCTCATGCTACCTGTCTTACTCAAGAATTTCTTTCCTCTGGGTTTCTTCAGTTTAAAGCAATTCCAGCAATAGACCTCTTTGTAAGCTCGTGTACATACTAGGGAGATGCTTTTCTTTCTGCTCTTTCCTTGTTAATTCTGCAAATTGGCAAGGCTGGTTCCTCTTGTATTAGTAACCAGGGAGGCCCCCACGCCTGGTCGATGAGCAATTCTGCACTGGAGCGGGCGCTGTGCATGCCAGGAGGTGATTTTCTGTGGGCCTGGGCCCTTTCCTGGAAGCCTGACTTCCTGTGTCTGAGGGAACCTCGGCTTCAAGCTCCTGCTGTCCTCTGACTGGCTGCCTTTAGAAATGCTTCCCCCGTTTTGAGACCATGGGGTTGCAGGGCAGGTTGAACCACTCTGACCTGGTCTGGGGCCCTCCCACACCCACAATTTGCTGGGGTGGTTGTTCCCTCTGTGCAGTGTCCTCCTCTCTCCAGCCCCTTCAGAGAGGTGGAGTGTTCCAGCATGGAGAGGCCAGGCTGCCATAGGTTGGTGATCATAGGGAGCACGCTTCAGTGGCCCGGAAACAAAAGGAAGTAGTGGGGAGGGTTGGGGAGGAAGAGAACCATGAAGAGGTTCAAGTGCAGAACGGTATTCAGGAAGCATCCTGAGGACATCAGAAAGGGTACGCACAAGGTCATGACCTAAAGGCTCACCTTCTAACAGAGAAGGAGCTCCTGCAGAGCATCTGGAAGGAAGAGCTGGAGAAGGACTGTCAGGGAAGTGGGCAAGGACGGGGAAAGGGAACACCCTGGGAGCAGCTCCAGGCACTGGCAGGAAAGGTAGAGGACAAATCCCAGCTGGGCTCGCTGGAGAGGGGTGCTGCGAGGCCCAGTATACCACCTCCACCACCCGGGAGAGGCGCTGTGATGCAGAGCCTGGGTTTGGCCTCTTCTATAAAACAGGTTTCTTAGCATGTCATGATAGTAACCTCATCTCTCTGTAACTATTGGAAACAGAGACTGGTGTTTTCGTTCCTGTCGTTCATGTAGTGATTTGCTATCTTTAAAAACAGTTTACATATATAGAACAGGGCTTCTTTTAAAGGGAATTCAGAGCCCCATGCAGAACTTGGGACAGTGCTTGTCATAATAGAACGCTGCTGAAGGTGCCTTGTCCTGAGACGACATCCACAGCATGACTTTCTGAAGCACAATGGATGCCGTGACATAAATGTACCCGAGAAACAAGTGACGCTCACGTGTGTCTGTCTCTGTAGACAAGTAGGAGTTTTATTAGAACTTAGAAAGGTGAGATGAGGGGACCACCAGGTGGCATGGTGGTTAAGACGCTGTACACTCCTACATGGCTGACCATGGTTCAAGTCCTGGACCTGGTGGCTTGCTTTCTCGCTTCTTCTCTCTGTCTCTCTCTCTCTCTCTGGTCAAATTAAAATAGATGAATGAATAAATAAAATTAAATAATTCTTCTTTAAAAAAGGTAAGATGAGAACTGTAAGAATGCTTTCCTTGTGAGATTATGTGGTCAAAATTACGCATGTGAGAAAGTGTGTGAATTAGGGGATGGGGGAGAGGGTCAAGCAGAGTATACATTTGAGGGCAGAGAAGTGATAAAGGGTAGGGAGAGATGCCAGTAAGTTTTTTTTTTTTTTTTCCTTTTAGAATAATGGGAAGTGTCCATTAAAATCCAAGTGTTCTTATGAATGTTCTGTTGGTCTGTCAATAGCTTCAACTTCCAGACCTATACATTTGGGTTAGCTAGCAGGGATTATCTAGGAATAAACAGGGATGGGAAAAGGTAAGTATAGGGAACACTGGAATTCTTGGTAATAATTTTAAAACCTTGATTTTAGAATAAATGTTTTTTAGTTCTCAAGGCATGACTTAACTGGATTTTCCTCTAGTACACTGCTCCCAGTGGGGCAGCGGGTCAGGCCCTGAGCGCAGTAGGTACACGTGAAGTCTTCCCCACATCTTTGTTCTCGGAGGTCACAGATGCTGCTCGTTCGTCGTCCTACATGGCTGACCATGGTTCAAGTCCTGGACCTGGTGGCTTGCTTTCTCGCTTCTTCTCTCTGTCTCTCTCTCTCTCTCTGGTCAAATTAAAATAGATGAATGAATAAATAAAATTAAATAATTCTTCTTTAAAAAAGGTAAGATGAGAACTGTAAGAATGCTTTCCTTGTGAGATTATGTGGTCAAAATTACGCATGTGAGAAAGTGTGTGAATTAGGGGATGGGGGAGAGGGTCAAGCAGAGTATACATTTGAGGGCAGAGAAGTGATAAAGGGTAGGGAGAGATGCCAGTAAGTTTTTTTTTTTTTTTTCCTTTTAGAATAATGGGAAGTGTCCATTAAAATCCAAGTGTTCTTATGAATGTTCTGTTGGTCTGTCAATAGCTTCAACTTCCAGACCTATACATTTGGGTTAGCTAGCAGGGATTATCTAGGAATAAACAGGGATGGGAAAAGGTAAGTATAGGGAACACTGGAATTCTTGGTAATAATTTTAAAACCTTGATTTTAGAATAAATGTTTTTTAGTTCTCAAGGCATGACTTAACTGGATTTTCCTCTAGTACACTGCTCCCAGTGGGGCAGCGGGTCAGGCCCTGAGCGCAGTAGGTACACGTGAAGTCTTCCCCACATCTTTGTTCTCGGAGGTCACAGATGCTGCTCGTTCGTCGATCCATGTGTTTCATTCTTGAACCACATGGACTTCCTCCCTCTGCCTTCGGCTGGTAATAGCACTTTAGGCCTAGCTTATGTGAAAACCCAGCAGTGTAGGTGACCTCGTGTATTTTGTGTGTTTGCTTGTGTGGTTGTATAGCTGTATTGTAATCATGTACACTTTTAAAATTTTTTAGTGGACCATAAACAAATGCCTATTATCTATCCTCTTTTGCAACCTAGAACTCATTGTCCAGTACGAGTTTTTGTATAAGATGGAATATTATGAAAAAAATAAGCATCTATTTTTTAATGGAGGGATTATGAGACGTGTATGGTAAAGAAGAAAAGCTGAAAGCTGCTTATTTTTATTAACAATCCATGTGTTTGCCTAAAACTGGATGGCTTCTTGAATCTCTGTCTAGGGTAAATGACATTTTTGTTTGGAATATGCATGCCATAAAGAAAAGGCCCTGAAGAGCCATGGTAGTGTTTTATTAAGATAAGCACAGTTTTGATCTGCGTTAAGTATAGAACTGAAATGAAAAGTCATGGAAAACGGCTTTCTCAGGCTCCAGAATGCAGCAGCTTTAGGGATACAAGCAGTAAACCCCAAAGTTGTGTAAAAGTCAGCTCTGGAGTGTTCCCATGTTTTAGACGTGCTGAAGTTCACAGGTTACCCTGGATTTGCCATCTTTGGCCTAAATGAATGTTTGTGTTTAATTTCTCCTCAGTTGAATGGCATTTTCACGGGCTCTTTCATTTTTCCCTAGCTTCTTCCAGACCAGCTGATCTTGCTTTTGGAGTGTCTTTTGGAGCAGAAGACCCTGAATGCCCGAACTCTGCAAAGCCTCCAGAGGACGTACCAGCTCCACGATCAGGATGCAGAGGTAACCATGCCCTTTCAGTTCACACAGCGGATTCCCCTGTTGGTGAGAAACAGTGAGCCCACTGTAGTGCCAAGTACAGAAACGACTATTTTCACTAGCAGAATCCTCTGTGTTTGCTTTACGAGTGGCAGACAAGTGCTTTAAGCAAAACGTAAACTGTTTGCCCAGTTGTGCTTGCTCTGGCAGGGGCCCTGTGGTCATGCTTGTGCTTATAACCAGAGTATTCTGAGATCTACAGCTTTTCCTGCTTCCTAAATCAGTAAGATGGACGTACATCTCCGAGGAGGGAGCAGGCAGGGTGGAGTGTCTTGAATTGTAGACTTGGGCGGGGCATCTCACGCACTGATGGTGGCGCCATCCTGCTGCACATTGAGGAGACTTGGCTCAGACGAGTCAGAGCTCTCAGTTGCATTCAGTTAGAACAGGAAAGGAGCCATGTGTAAAGGAAATGAAAACTAAATCTGGCAGTCGTGGTTTGAAAAGTAAAATTGGATGCTTGTGGGAAAGCAATATGATGTGGCCCTTAATATCAGCTTATTGCAAAGAATGCAGTGCAAATCTTAAGATCAATTCCAGGTTTTAAAAATACAAAATCATAAATATTTATAGTAGTTAGTGATCTTAAGTTAAAAAAAAAAAAGAGCTCAAAGAGAAAAGCTCTTTTATATAAAATTCCTAAAATGTAGAAAATACAAGTAAATTTGGTTTCGTTCAGTTGAAAATAAAGCCATACAGTCCAGCACAGCAGCCATTAGCCACGTATGGGTATTGAGTGCTTGAAATGTAACTATGAGATGTGCTGTAAATGTACAGTGCACCATAATAAATATTGAAGATGTTGTATTAAAAAAACAAAATACCTCAGTAATTGCTCCCTATTGATTACAATTTGAAAATGTTATTTTGGGTGTGTTGAGTTGTACGAAATAGTACTAGAATGAATTCCACAATCATTAAAATGGAGTACCTTGAGAGAAGTCATTAACTAAAGTTGTTCAAATGAACACTGGTATGCATTTTAAAGCCCCATAAATTTGCGAGTAATTGAAAAACTCCAGAGAAGACTCATAGCTTTTTACCCACCTGAGCACACATCAAATGTGCAACTTTTGTTGTTTATTTCAGCTCCTCCGTTTTTGTTTATAGAAGTGTGGAAATGCCAGACACCTCCCTATTTATAGGCATTTGGCTATGTTTTAATCAGAGCTGGATACCAGTGAAATGCCAGGCCCCTGTGAGAGGCACGGGCAGACCAGGGCAGGAGAATCAGGGCAGAGGCCAGACATCTGCCATTTGATGGCGGAAGCCTTGAGGTGGGAGACCCTGTTTTGCCCCTTCCTTTTGGCCCAAAACACATCCTGTTCTTAACTTACAGCTCAACTTAGTCGTTACATAGAACCTCTTAAACCTTTAAGAAGTGTTAACAGGCTTTATTTTGCTTTCTTATTTGAGCCTCACAAAACTTATTGACAGGGTAACTCTTCAGCTGAGATTCCTGGTGATGAGAGGATGGTCTGAACACAGCTTTGCTGAGTCCACGTGACTAGTGCGATCTCGTTCCTGCAGTTCATATACCTACTGGGTGTGAGGAGCATGGCCGTGGACATGGCAGATGGGGGTTACCCTCAGGGAGCAAGAGCTCGGGCAATGCAGGGTGAAGTTGGGCTGGTTTCTCTAGGATAGGGTATTCAGGAAGGACCCGTTAGAGAAAGTGATATGCGAGCCAGGACTGAAAGATAACATGAGGGTGGCTATACAGAGCCCAGGAGCTGGGGAGGTGGAGCGGGTGGGGGTCCATACAATGATGGCAGCAAATGTGAGGTGGGAACGTGGCATGTGCTAGGATATGGATCAGCAAACATTCTCCCTAAAAGACCAGATAATTCACATTTCAGGCCATGCAATTTCTGTCACAGCGGTTCAGCTTTGCCCCTTTAGATGATATGTAAGCAAACAGGTGTGAATTCGTGCCAGTAAAAGTTTTATGGATCCTGAAAGTTGAATTTCAAGTAACTAGCACATTTCAAAATAGTCGTCTCTTTTCCCCGGTTACTTATTGCAGCTAGTTAAAAGCATGTCTGCCATTTCTGGTGCAGCCTGTTTTGACCTGCCCCATCCCTGGTTTGCTGACCCCTGTGCCTGGGGTCTGGAGTTGAGGTCAGGTGTGAACAGGAGCCAGATCAAGGCAGGGGCCTTCAGGCCCTGGTGCATGTTGGGACTTCATTCTAATGCTGTGCCTGTACTCTGAGTCCTTGAGGACCCAGCATGTGGTTCATTACCCTGAGGATTTGTCTCCTGTGAAGTTTCCCTGAATTGTTACTCAGAACCTGGTGCTTAAACTCACACCGAGCATGTGTGCATGCATGCCCAAGATCCCGAGAGGAGAATGGAGAAGAAGGATTATGGCGTGGCCATCCCCCCCGGGGGGTGATTTCTTGCTCGCGCTCGCTCGCGCTCTCTCTCTCTCTCTCTCTCTCTCTCTCCCTCCCTCTTTTTCTGGCAAGCACATACACCCTATACCAGAAACTTCTCCAAAAAGAAGAAAAATGCAATAGGATTGTCCAACCAGGGCGTTTTCTAGAAACTTAATATTAAGTATGATTTATTGTGACACCGATTAGGAGGAATTCTGTTGAAAGGTCAGTCATCTGTCTTTAAGTGATAGAACATTTCATGGAGGAAAAGATTTTGAAAAAGTCTTGAGGGTTCTGTCCTTATTCTTGATTCCTCTTGGCTAAGGGAGTGTAAGGGTAGTTGCTTTCCATTGTTGTCAGTGCTCTTAGATATGGAATAAACAGCCATCATTTGAAAGATGGCTAATGAAGCTAAAGTTTGGCAGGCTGGCCACTGAGAGCCCCCATGGGTGATGGCTCTGAGGGATTTTCTCGGTGAAGACCAGTGTTGATTACAACCCTGAGGCTCTGCGTTTGGGAGCTGCCACAGGGCCCTGGGCACAATGTCCATTTAGACATGGGATACCTGCACACTGCCAGGGGTTGGGCATTGCTCTCCCTACTGTGTCTGGATGTGCCCTGTATCTGCAAGGTATGCAGAAAGATGCCATCACCCTCCCTCTGACCTGCCCTTGTCTTAAAAGTTGTGTGTGAAGTCACCTTTTGACATATGAGCCCACTGTACTTCTCTGAAATAGAGTGACATTGTCACCTCTGCTGCCCGTTCCTTTACCGCACAGCACCGTCCTTCCATGGCTGAGCATTGTGTCGTCAAGGAGCCATATTCTTGATGTCATGGACCAAGAGTCTCAGCTGTGTGAGAAACCCAGTTGAATGGCACAAGGGAATTAAAGCTTCCTGTCTCGGTGGAGGTGGCTTCTGTGCCATTACCCATTTGTCCCTTCCCTCCTGCCTGCCTTGTCTGTGTGGGAGTGACTGTTCTCACCTGTCAGATTGCTTCCATGTTCCACTTGTGTTCACTGAATGTCTAATCTATGGGTCAACCTTTCTCAGTGTGGCGCTGAGTCCAACACTGCTGCTTGCCAGGGTTTGTGTCTTGAGGGTTTATGGGGATGAACCTTCTGAAGCTGGTCCAGGTTGTGCACCCCACCCCACCCCCCTGCATCATGTGTGGTGTGACTGCACACGTCTTGGGGTAGGGGGAGGTGGTACCAGAGTCTTCAAGGAGAAGTGCACAGGGACAGCTGCAGTGAGAGGGCAGGCGGAGGAATGCACATCGTTCTGTGCACTTCCTGCCTTACCACCCTGTGTGGAATGGAACACAGTCAGGGCACCTTGCATGCCTTGGCTTAGAAAGTAAAGCAAACTATGGGAGTCAGCCATCTTTTACATACCGCATCACAGAAGTCCCAGCCTTGTGTTGGGCAACTTCATCTAGGAAGGAAAATGAGCAGAAGGAAAGTTTACTCCATAGAAGCACCTTATCTATGGTTTTTGAGTATATTACCTAAATAAAGACCCTTAAAAGTAAAGCCAACAGATGGCATAGGTGAAGGCCCTAGATTCCCACATGGGCAGTCGCAGTTCAAGTCTTGGACCCAGTGGTTTGAAAATCACTCTGGGTGCATGTGCCTGTGCACCCAAAATCTTGAAAGGAGAATGGAGAAGGTGTACAGTGTGGCTATCTCCCCTGCCCCCCGGGGGTGTAGTTATTCCTCACTTTCCCTCTCTCTGGTGAGCACACGTGGCCTATGACAAAAAAAAAAAACTAAAAAAAAAAAAAAAAAGATAAACATTAAAATATATATTTGACAACTGGCTCTGGGATCAAAAGGTGTCTTCTAAGATCTCTTTTTAAATATAGGTTGAGTATCCCTAATCTGAAAATATGAAATCTGAAATGCTCCAGATCCCAAACTTTGAATGCTGACATAATGCCATAGGTGGGAAGTTCCATACCTGACCCCAATGTGATGGGTCACAGTCAGAGCATGACAGCACAAAAATACGATGTAAACTTATCTTCAGGCTATATGTATGGGTGTATTATGGAACACGAATGAACTTTGTGTTTAGACTTGAGTCCATCCTAAATAAATCTCATATTTATATGCAGACGTTCCAAAATACAAAACCATCCAAAACACCTTGTTCTCAAATGTTTTTCATAAGAGATACTCAGCCTGTAATAAGTTCCCTGTCTCCTTAGCTGGTTTCTAAGCAGTAAAAACAGCTGCCCCATGGTGGAGAGGTAGGGTCCTTGGAACATGGCTCTGTGACTCTTTCCTCTAGAGCCACACAACTGATTTTCAAGGAACAGTCTTTCTACAGATGACACTGAATGCTTCGAAGGTGGGAGCAGGCTTCAGGTGATAGACTCTCCCTGCATTGTTTTAAAAAATTTAGAAAGAGTAACTCACTGTCTCCTCCAGCTTAGATAGGATGGAAACCATGAATCAGAAAGTTCTGCTTTATAGTATGCCCTGCTCTGATGTTTCGGGTGATAAGTTGAGCCAGAAAATTAATTTTCTTGGAGAGACCATTAGTAGCATCAGTTCATCCTCTCACTGTACAGAGAGAAATACT